ACCGTCATTTTGCGAGGCTTACAGGCAAGGGGCCCCAGGTTTGAGAGCGTAGGCTTGGGGTGTGGATGCGGGGCTGAATGCTCGGACTGCTTGGCTTTTTCTTCCGTAGAGTCCGGACTAGGGACAGAGGAATGGGGCCGCTACGGGTGTGGTACCTGCGATGGCGGCATGTCAGTGAGTGACGATCGATGCTGTGGCAACGGCTGTTGGCATGTCTCTCCTAAAGGCCCGTTTTCCCACTGTTTATTACTTGCTTTGGTTCTGTCGCATGTTGCTTCGGATTATGTACACTTCCCATCTCCAATGCAACCTCTTACTTCACCAAGCCTCCTAGGCGTTCGGATTCTCACACTAGATGCTACTGGACCTGAATACTCGCGCTGGCGACGCAGTGTCAGGTTTGCTCTGGAAACGAAAAATCGGTGGAAATACTGCAATGGCAGGCGTCCGATGCCGATGCCGATGCCAAAGGCAACACCAGCCATAGCCGAACCTAACGATATACAACCAAGTTTACTGGAAGAACGAAGAGAATGGATGCGACGAGACCGAGAGGTCAAATTTGACATATTCCAGTCACTAGCAGAAGAAGTGATGCAGGATGTATTTGGTGTCGGCCCTCCGCTTCCCCCCACACAGTACACTGCACTGCAAATGTTACAAGCACTGGACAATCGTTTTAGCGTCTTTGAGTTTGAAGGTTACCACCACGCGTTTTGTCATTTTTTGAACTTGCAGGTGGATCAGCACGAGAGCCTCGACGACTTCAACAAGGAGTTCTTAACGGTGCTGGAAGACCTGCATGACTATGGCCACCCGATGTCCAATGTCCAAGCATGCAGCGCATACTTTTCCAAGCTGCAATGCACACAGAACCCATGGGTAGCAAAGAAAGTTGCAGAATGGGATATCCAACCTTTCGAGCCTCAGCTGTGCGATCTTATGCAGGCAGCAGTACTCTGGCCGTGCACCAAGTCTCTTGCATGCAACTCGTGGCGGGACTGCTTTGCGAAGCCATCACCAGAAGAGCATATCGATGATGGTGCTGCACCTGGACCTACATATAGCGACCTTGCACCTGAACTTTCGGACACATCCACCCTGTCATCCAAAGCTTCACATTCGAGAGAAATGTCCGAGAAGATTTCCGAGCGGCAAATTAGAACAGCGATTCATTTGAGCAATAAGCAATTCGATCCAAAAGCACTATGTGAAGCGCTTGAGAGGATTCCAGCTATAGTCGGTTCAGAAAGGCCAAGTCTGGACGAAGGCATAAGAACAGACCCGGCAACGCCTGAATGGCTAAGCGCAAGAGAGAGTATCGATTCACAGCCACCGATGCAGAAGAATGCAGCATCAGAATCGACCGACATCCCAATACTTTTACTACCACCAGCCGTGCTCCACAAACCAGACAGCAACCCACACATGCGATCTCTATCCACCCCCATCCCCGAGATAGCGCTCAACAGCCCCACGATCCCAGAAAAGAGTCCTCGACGAAGAACAACCGACTTCTCATTCAAACAAGCCATAGTCTCCATCCAAGCAAGCCACAAACCCCCCTCACTGTCCGAGCACCCCGCATTCCGAAACAGAACATGGTCCCCCCCAGAAGCCATAACCGCAGACCTCCACCCAGCCCTGCGCCCAATGACGCCACTGCTCAAGCCGCAAAAGCCCAAGCCCAAGCAAAAAGAACGCTCCTGCTCGCCCCTCGACCTCTCAAGATCCAAGCCCCCGCCTCCGCAACGCAACCACCGTCGCCGCGCCCGTAGCGTAGGAAACTTTTCCACCAAAGACACCACTTCGTCTTTCCTCTCCCCGCCCTCTAGCACAAACACCAGCGGAAGCAGCAGCACAAGCACCATACTCACGCTCCCCCTCCAAGGCTCCACCCTTCTTTCCATCCCAGACACCACCACTACTCCCTTACCCCCTTACAACCCCACTCCACCCTTACCTCCCCCCTCCCCATCTCCATCATCCCAAAAACCCCTCCCCTTCTTCCCCCTCCCCTTCATCCACACCCACACCCGCTCCCCCTCCGCACCCCCCCTCCCAACCCACCGCCCCATCCAACCCCCCGTCTCTAAATTCTCGCTCTCAGCTACACAGGATGCCGTGCACAAAGATAACAAACATGCGAGTGGCCATAGGCGGTTTAGAAGTACGGGGGATTGCGATAACAAGGCTAAGGCTAGGGCGGGGTGTAGGAGCGCGAGAGAGGCGAGAGATGAGAAGAAGAAGGAAAAGGAGAAGAAGAGGGAAAAGAGTTGGAGTTTGGGGGTTGGTAGGATGGGTAAGTTGGGGGGAGGAGGAGGAGGAAAGGGAGAGGAAGATGGGGATATGTAGTTTGGATGTTTCCCCCCTCTTTTTTTTCGATATTCGGGTTAGTTACTGTTTTGGAGCGTATCTGTTTGTTGTTGTTGGTGGGGGAGTCACTCGCTTGACTTTTTCTTATATACCCTTTTTGTTTTTGGAATTTCGGTAGTCTACCTAGATTGGTTAGGATGGATTTCCATTCCTGTCTTTTCTTAGCATGTTTCCTTATGAATTGAAACAAATTGAGTAATTCTAGTCTCAAGTTTCTCCTTCTCCAACTTCTCACCAGACACAATTTATATAACTACTCGAAAATCACACATCGCAAAGTGAAAATGGGCTCTTATCTCGTTCAGTTATGGAAGAAGATCAAAACTTTTGCTAAAATGACAATTGGTCTATATTCGCCATCTTATGCTATCGGAATGATGCAGGCGTCTTAGGTCCCCACATCAAGTGTCATTAGTCATGTCATGCATGTATTGCAATGACGACTTGTCTACCAGGTAATGTTGTACAAGCCCTCTACATCTACTGCGTCTCACGCACGACCTTGTCTACAGCCTTTGCAAAGTAGTCAATGTTGTGCGAGTTGAGACCAGCCATGGAGATACGGCCGTTCTTGGTCATGTAGACGTGCGAGTCCTCTCGGATCTTGAGCACTTGCTTCTCGGTCAAACCGGTAAAGCTGAACATGCCAATCTGGTCGGTAATGTGGTTCCAGGTGCCGGGTGTGGCCATTTGCTCGAGCTTGCTGCGGAGCTCCTTGCGCATCTCCTTTATGCGGCCAGACATTGTGCGGAGGTTCTCTTCCCACTCGGCAAAGAGGGTGGGGTCGTTGAGGACCGTCGAGGCGATGCGGGCGCCATATGCAGGAGGATTTGAAATCTCGGAGCGCTGGAGGATGGCAAGCTGCGAGGCAATGCGGGTGATGGTGGACTGGGCGTCGGACGAAGGCGAGGTGATGAAGTGGAAGCAGCCAGCACGCTCGCCGTACAGACCAAAGTTCTTTGCGTACGACTGAGCAACGCACATCTCAAAGCCCTGCTCGACAAAGTAGCGGATGGCCCAGCCATCGGTAGCAAGGTCGCCAGATGCGAAGCCCTGGTAGGCAGTGTCAAAGAAGGGAAAGTGCTTCTTGGACCTGATGACGTCGGCAATCTTCTTCCACTGATCTTGGGTAGGGTCAACGCCCGTAGGGTTGTGGGCACATGCGTGTAGCACGATGATGCTACCCTCGGGCGCGTCCTGGATGGCAGAAATCATGCCATCAAAGTCGAGGCCCTTTGTATCCTTTGAGAAGTAGGGGTATGTCTTGTATTGGATGCCGACATTGGAGAAGATTTGGAAGTGGTTGGCCCATGTGGGGTCGGAGAAGTAGACTGTGCGCTCTGTCTGGGGCTTGTAGAATTTTGCGAGGAAGAGGGCACCCAAGTGGACGGCTCCGGTACCGGAAATTGTCTGGAGGCTGGTGACCTGTGTGGAGTGAGCTCAGGCCATGGAAAAGTGGCGTGAGAAGCTTACCCGCTTGTCCTTGATGGCGGGGTTGTCACCACCGAGAACCAGCTTCTGTGATGCTGTTGTGAACTCGGGTAAGCCGGCAATGGGCAGGTATTCGTGGTTAAGGTTGGGGTCGGTACGGAGGCGCTCTTCGGCCTGGTAGGATGGTGTGAGTAATAGTAAAAAAGAAAGTTAATAGTAGCATGTGGGGGGTGTGAACGACCTCGCACTCGACGTGGACTCACCATCTTGACGACGGGCAGGATCCAAGGCTTTGCATTGTCATCTCTGTAGGCGCCAATGCCCAGGTCAACCTTGTTGGGGTGCTCGTCACGACGGAAGGCGGCCATCAGACCAAACAAGGGATCTTCAGGCGCCTGGGGGACGACATTGGCGTCGAAAGCGGTGGCAGCCATGGGGTCAATGTGCGAGGAGATTTGGGAGAGGCGGGTTTGAGGGGTGGTGATGGTGTTGGAGGGAGAGGTTGAGGAGGGAGCTGGGGATGAAGTAGATGAGGCTGGCATGGCTGTGACGTCTGAGTGCCAACCAAGAGCACCACGTCTCGCACCGGTTACGTTTCACCGCCCGAGTAAAGGGAAACTGGACGCCGCGTCTACCCACGCTAGCCCCCGCGGATTCTATTTGGGGGGAGGGGAGTGACCGGCCGGTGAGGAGATGCGGAGGGCGGAGAGTGGAGCACGGGGGTGCCGGCGCGACGAGATGCAGATGCAGATGCAGATGCAGAAGCGTGAACGAAGAACGCCAGGCAATGCAGGGCCTGACTGCACCCAGCAGGCCGCTATATATGTACCACGACACAGCTGTGTTTCTTGCTCGGTTCATCTGATGCAGGGTCGTGTGAGCAAGCCGAGGCACATGTCGAGCACCATGGCAGCCGAGTACCCGCCCAGGCCTTCCTTCTCACATGCACATGCGCTGCCTCTGCTCCTGGATTACGTCGTGACAAGCTCCCGTCCAGGTTTGCGGGCAGTCTAGGAATGAACCGCTGTGGGGGAGGGGGGGACCCCACAGGGCTGGCATTGCTTGCTTCTTGTAGCAATCTGGTCCACTCAGCATGCGCCCGATTCTAATGCGCCGAGCCTGGCATTATCTTCGCCATCTTGGGTATCTACTACTTCATACAACTACTACCTCATACTGCTCCTATTATCCTCTTACACAAACAAGTCCCACAGCACCAGCGTCGCGCAAAAGACACTCGTCGCCCAAAACACTTTTTGCGCCGTGCTGCCCCGCTCCGTCGCCCGCTTTAGCTCCTTGTTGCCGCTCCCCACGTTTTCCTGTGTGTTGAGCGAGTCCTCGACCAGCTGGTCAATGTGCGCTGCTTGTATGCTGAGATTGCTGGCCAGCGTCGACTGTAGCTCAGAGATCTCGGTGAGTGATTTTTCCGTTGCGCTGCGTGGGCGTTAGCAGATGCATAGTCACGCGCATACACCACCGCCACATACCGGATCTTGTCAAGCTGGTCCTCGTACTGCTTAAGCATGTCCTGGTTCTCTTGCGCAAACAGCTGAAGCTGCTCAGGATCCAGCTGATTCTCAATCACCGTGCTCTTTTCGTCCGGGTTGTACGATGCCGTCCCTCGGTAGTCTGCCTCAGCACCTTGCCCACCTTTGGCCTCGCTGTAGTCGGCCATAACCGGAGCTGTCATCCTTGTCTTGTGTAATACGCTCTTGCTTTTCTCCACCTCTCGCGTGAGCCGAATCTCCATCATGTTGCTCTGGAACTGCCCACACTCCTCGAGCTGCTTCTGCAGCGACCATATGATGCTCTCTCTATGCGCCTTGATCGTGTTTGCCTTGGCCTCTTCAATCTCCTCCTCTGGGCTCTTTGCTGTGATTGCCCCGCCTGCTGCCCATCGTCCCAGCGCACCCAGGCCCTGTTTCGCCCGCTTCCTCAGCGCGACTTGGCTTTGAGCTGCCTGTCGTGCCTGCTCTGCAACCCCCAGTGTCTTGATCGCATCGTTGAGTTGGCGTATGGACTGCTTCGCTTGCATGTCAATCTCATTGCGCTGCGCATCGCTCAGGTACTTTGAGTCCTTGTCGGCGGTCGACCAAGTACTGCTTCGTGCCAGCTGTTTTCGGCGGGGTGGATTCGCAGTAGATAGATAGCTCTGCCGTATCGATTTCAGGTCGGTGTGCAGCTTGGTTATGTGAGTTCGCTGTTGCAGTTAGCTACCATGACCCATCTTGCTGCGACGCGCAACGTGGCCTACAATGCGGTATGCCTCTTTGACAAAGTCGTCGAGTGCTTCAACTCGAAACTCGTAGGGCTTGATTGGCGGCGCATTGTGCTTTGCAAGCACCTGGTTGAAGGTGGGCGTGATGTCCATTGTGTCGAGGTGCAAGCAACTTGCTCGTATGAGATGACGATGCTCCCCGCGGGAATGTCATGCTGGTCTTTCGCTTCTCGGCCAATGACGCACAACCCCTTAGCACCGACAACATGGCCAGACTGCAGCCTGCCTTCTTCCCTTCTCAGCCCATCTTCAGACTAGATTCAACCCGCCTTGCCCTATCCTCGAGGCCATGTACAATATATGTAACGTCACATACACCAGCTCCCAACAATACTCCTCGCCCCTAGCCCCTTGTGTCTTTCCTCTTGCGTATCCCCGCATTCCCGCATTCCTAGAGGCACCACTAGTCCCGAGTCTTGTACCAAAAATACTACCCAGCGTGGCTTGCATCAGAAGATGTACTAGAAGGCTGAGCCTTGGATCGCCCCCAAATAACACGCCTAGTCTTCCGATTGGACCTCGACAGCCATCGTCTCACGACTAACTGCGATCGTCTCGCGAATAACCTGTCAGAAGGACTGGACGCCCTAGTTCCAGACACGGTCACAGTATACATTTTTGTCTTTGATGACACGGGTTTCGTGATTCCAACGCGAGTTGTAAAGCTCCTCGTCCTTCTATAGGGACAGCTGACATGTCATCTCACAGTGACCTCTGGCCTTTGACAATAGATCACTCGCCAGGTGAAACCTGAGCGTTGTACCAACCACCGCCAACATATCAGCTTATTATTAGGCTGCCCAATGGATGCTCGTATGCAAGATCGTATTCCCTATTGCCCCAAGGCTGGGCACGCCGTTGGCGTAATCAGAATTGTCTGTTGACGTTACTCTGGACACCAGGGTGATAGCCACAAAAGAATGTCACATACAGCTCGCTCCTAACTATTTGTACACTGCTGCCCTCGCACGCTCTAACTTTTCTTCACTCAACTCACTCCATCCACTCGCAATCCTAACAGTATACTCCCCACTACACCAAAGCTCATTCAAACCACCTTCCCGAAGACAAGACACGATGAAGTCCAGCAACATGCTCCTTGCCTTCTTTGCTTCTGTCGCCGTGGCTTCGCCTGCCGCCCTCAACATGCGGGCTGACGAGGCTTGTACGCCCACATCTTACACCATTTCCGAATACTCACTCGTAACCTCACCCACCTCGGGCAGCGTCCACTTCACCTTCCAGTCGGCCTTTGCCTCTGGTGCCACCATTGTCGACTCGGTCCAGAATGGCCCCCTATGCAGCGCTTCTGATTCCTCTGTCCCCAATAGCAACGAGTGCCAGGTGCCCAGCCGTCGTCTGCTCTTTGATCTCCGTGGACCCCAGGAGCAGGCCTACTACCAGATTACGCACACTTGGTCTTGCAACGGGTAGGTTTAGTACTTGCGTTGTGTTGGACATGATCATTACGTCATCTCTTATCTGAACTCAGCTAACGGATATGACAGAAGCACCTGGCTCTCTGGTACCCCCGTCAGGGTCGATCCGCTCACCTGCCATACCGAAGGTGACGAGCGCACCTGCATTGGCGGTCCTCTGACCATTGCGCCTCAGAATGTGCGCAAGATCTGCAGCACCCCTACATGCCCCTAGTCTCATTTCATACACTATATGAGGGCTGTTTAAAGGCTCACATGAACTAGAGATGTGTATGTTCATGGGGGTATGAATTCTGGCCCTGAAACAGGCACAGAGTGGTCAATAGTCGAAAGAGCTGATATACCAAAGGCTCAGTAATCCGTAATAGAGAGAGAGAGATGTAGGCCAGAAAAGCGTTGTTACCTAGACATTCAGCAAATCCAATCGTAATCAATCTTTCTCCTGCTAAAACAGCATGACTTGCAGTGCAAGAAACCCTCGCTCGTCTGACCGACACACCATTTTCACCACCACCTCGCCCCAAATATCTTAGGCGCAACCCTATCCCTCTTCTTATCCGCCATCAAATCAATCCTCTGATGCCCCTTGACATCCACCGCCAACGTCTCATACTCAAACTCATCCTGACTCGGCCTCTTGATCAAATGCACATGCACCACACCCTGCCCCCTCGGCCCCTCCACATAAAACTTGAACCGCAAGTGCTCCGTGCCCCACTTGTCCGTCTCCTGTGTACTACTGATCTGGCGATTGCGCGCCCACCGCGACCACGACGGTTCGCCGAACGCCGCGATTTCCGCGCCTGGACCTAGCAGTTTCTGGCAGCGGGCGTCGGCGCGGATGAGGTCTGTTGCGCGGTTGAAATAGGCGGTTTTGGAGGTGGGGCTGAAGACGTCGGAGAAGAGGAAGTAGCCTACGCCGCCCTACAATTGCGCGTTAGTCATGTGTGTCTAGGGAAGAGGGGTGCGAAGGGCGAAAGTCGTACTGTTGCTAAGATGCCGACGAGAACGACGACCAGGTTGACGCTTTGCTGGGTTGTGCGGACTATTTTTTCGCCTGGCGAGAGGTCGGACCAGCGCACTTGGCCCGTGTCGCCGGTCAGCGAGATGGATTTTCTTTGGGGCTGCGGCGACGGATTGCTTGTCGATGTGTGTGTTGCTTGTGCATTTGGTGTAGTGGAGAAGAAGGCTTTGCGCCTGAGTTGCGCCTGGCGACTTGATGCGGGCTGGATGCGTGGGAGGAGGAAAGTAGGTCGCAGTAGAGCAATTGCTTCGGCTGGTCTGTATACCGCAGCCATTGTGTGTGTGTGTGTATGTGTGTGGTGGTGAGGGGTCAATGCGATCGCTCAGCAATGCGGAGTCGGAGGCTCGTGTGACGGCGGAGGTGGGAATGCAGCCAAGGCCGAGGCTGCAGCTTGGTGGCGGCCCGTAAGTCGGTCCCTGGATACCAACTAACTTTTGGGCTATCTAAACCACCAATATACCCTATTCACACTCGCTATTCACTCTTTTCCCTAGTCTCATTCTGCGCGAATTATACTGCTTGGGTTGCATCGGGCGACATTGAGCGCCAGACAGGATGAGTTCCAACAAGAAGAGTAGCCTCACGGGCTATCTCCCGGATATCCTCATGGCAGCTGCTGCAGTACGTGTCTACCCCCGTTTGCTTACTCGCCCTTTTTTCGATGTTGAGAATTGAGCTGATGTCCAGGACAGCCATTAATAGCATACTTTGTCATCCGCAACCTGCTCACGCGCCTCGATCCCGAAGCCCAACAAAAAGAAGAAGCCCGCGCAAAGGCCACGGCCGCAACTCGCAAACTTGATGCTATTCTCACAAGTAAACGGCGGAAAAGCTATAGCGAGTATGATAGCGAAGATGACGACGAGACGGACTCGCGGCATCGACGGCCACGGATACAAGACCTCAATCTCAACACGTACGAACAAACAATCGCTATGGAAGTCGTTGCGCCCGAGGAGATTCCTGTCAGCTTTGAGGGTAAGTCGTAACAAGTCCACAAGAAGGGTGCTCAGCTCTGGGTTACAGCTCGGAGCCGACTGGCGCACACACGTGCATGCTGTCAACAGCAGTGTTTGGAAAACGGCAACAGGACTGACAATAGACAGACATCGGAGGTCTCGACTCCATCATTGAAGAACTCAAGGAATCCGTCATCTACCCCCTCACCATGCCCCACCTATACGCCCACAGTTCCTCGCTCCTCAGTGCACCTTCAGGTGTCTTGCTCTACGGTCCTCCCGGCTGCGGAAAGACGATGCTGGCCAAAGCCCTCGCACACGAATCCGGCGCTTGCTTCATTAACCTGCACATTTCGACTCTGACTGAGAAGTGGTATGGCGACAGCAACAAGCTTGTGAATGCTGTCTTTAGTCTTGCGCGAAAGCTCCAGCCCAGTATTGTGTTCATCGATGAGATTGACGCGGTGCTTGGACAGCGAAGAAGCGGCGAACACGAAGCAAGCGGCATGGTTAAAGCAGAGTACGTTTCTCTCAGTCAGAAAAAAAAGTGGATTAAACTCACAATATCAGATTCATGACCCACTGGGACGGTCTCGCCTCGTCCACCTCCTCAGGCACCTCGGACCCCCAGCGCATCTGCATCCTCGGCGCCACAAACCGCATCCAAGACATTGATGAAGCCATTCTCCGCCGTATGCCCAAGAAGTTTCCCGTAGCCCTCCCCTCCGCCGCGCAACGCCACAACATCTTCTCCCTTATCCTGCGCGGCACAAAAATCGACACCGCAAACTTCGACCTCGACTACCTCGTCCGCGTCTCCGCCGGCATGTCCGGCTCCGACATCAAAGAAGCCTGCCGCGACGCCGCCATGGGCCCCGTCCGCGAGTACATCCGCCGCAAGAAGGCTGACGGCACCCTGCGCAGCAGCAAGGCTGTCAAAGCCGCAGACGTCCGCGGTCTCCGCACTGAAGACTTCTTCGGTCGCGGAAAGGGCCTCCGTGACCTGGACACGCTCGATCAGACCCGCGAAGAAATGAATGCCAACGTGAGGAGTAGAGTCCATACCACCGAGGAGGAATCAGAGGAGGAAGACGACGAGGACGATGCTACAACTGAAGTCACTACCACCACCGAAGAAGCAAGCGAGCGCGGTAGCGAGGCCGTCTTCCGCGATGACAAGTATCGACCCAGGCCTACACCGCCCGCCGCGGAAAACAGGCATGAAAGAGACCCCGTAGTTTCGAGGTAAAGAGAACCCTGAGATATTTTGCATCATTAGCATTAAACTGTACATTTCTCTCTCTCTCTCTTTCTCTCTTCTTTTTTCCCTCTCTCTCGACGTTTTTTTTTAAACTGTTATGCAATGAGCTTAACCCCTGTGGAATCTTTTCAACCGAATTACTACTACCACTCAAATCATGGTCATGAAACAAAGATGATGGTTGCGTTGGGTTGGGTTTTATGTACCCATGATGCATATGCATAAATATCAAACATACTCACACGTACGCATACGCATACGTACGTTATATATATATATATATCTATGTCAATGGGAAACATGTATCATTAGAAATAGAATGGAATGGCGTTTTTTGTTTCGACCCTTTTTGATATTGAATAATAAGAAAAAAAACTGAAAAACTTTCATGTCCATTTTGTTGAGGGCTTGAGAGTACGACGTACACACATTCTCTCTCCTTCCCACAAGACTACTCTTAGATTATATTCTCAAGTAGCAACCGCGCCAAACAGGCAGACGACATCATTCATCATAAACCATGACTCTACTTCTCCTCCTCTTCCTCTTCATCATCCTCATCCTCATCCTCCTCCTCTTCGTCCTCTTCTGCACCAGCTGCAATCTCCTCGTCCGCATCCTCAGCCTCTCCTTCCTCTTCTTGCACAAGCAGGTCCTCAACAGTACCTCCCTCCTTCTCTAGCCTCAGATACTCATCCCATTCAGGGAACATCTCAGCATCACCCTCGCCATCACCATGAGGCGGCGTACCAAGAAGCCTGGCCACCTTGGTCTTTTGCTCCTTTTCCAATGATGCCTTCCACTGCTTCACCAGCTCGGCAGTCGCGCTGGGCTTGTACGTTTGTGAAAAGAGCACAGCCTCAGCAAAGCGGCCCGTCTTGACAAGAAGATCAATGCAGGCCTGCACGTCACCAATCTGCCACAGCGCAGAGAATGCGACATTGTTGGCTGTCGCAGTCTCCGCAAGAGCAGCCAGCTCTCTTAGGCCAGTTGTGTCGCTGGTGGCGCTATACAGAAGTAGGAGCGAACCGAGATCTTTAGCCTTAACAAAGCATTCTTGCGCCAGCTGTACATCCCAGTTGCTGAGTGCAGCGTCGCCAACCGTCTTCCACTTGTGCTCCGTGTCTTGTTCCCGAGCAATCGAAACGGCTTGCTGAAGATCACCCAGAGACAAGGCGAGGTCAAAGCGGTGTTCAGGGTCAGTGGCAACCTTGAGTGCCATTTCCTTGTATCCCTGACCTTCCAAGAAACGCGCAATCTTGTTGTTCTGGTCCTTCGGCACCGAGGGCAGCGTCTCCTCGGCAGCCTCGAGATCACCACGGAGAATGAGCGTCTGGTACTCAACGACTGCCAGAGATAGGGCAAAAGAGACGACATTGACATCTTTGTCCGCAACGTAGATCCTCGAGTCACGAGGCAGGTATCCAAGGACATAGTGTGGTGAATCAAAGTGCGAGATGGTGTATGTTTGGTCGCCCACAAGGTAGTTAAGGCGGTTTGTGCTGTTTGTGTAGATGAAGCAGTCTCCTACCCATGTACCAGTGCGAACGCTTTGATTCTGTTAGTTCTTGCAATCATCTAGCGTGGTGTGACAGTCGACTTACCTCTCGTTGATGTCGCATACAACCTCGAAAGCAGACTCGGCACCGTCCTCGTCCACTTCGCCATTCTGTACTGCCTCGAGATAGTTCTCTCTTGAGTAGCGCAATACGTAGAAAGTGTCCTCCGTAGCCAAGGTAACGAGTTCACCACTCTCAGACCAGAAAACATTATTTGGCTCAACTTCGATCCTTCGGACCAGAGCTCCAGAATCCCAGTCAAACAGACCGATACCGCCCTGTCCCTTTACACCAAGGAGAACACCGCCACTTAGACCATCGGCAGAGAAACCAACGTTGAGAACACTTCGCTCCTTGAAGTTACGGAAGATCTTGACGCTGGTGGACGATTCTCGGATGGCATAGTCTTTGTCGTGCTCTTTCGACGCCCAGCAAAAGTCCATGGCAGAACCAAACGCCTGGTTACGAAGAGCGAGTGCAGTGTAGATAATATACTCGCCATCGCCGCAGACGGCCACAAAACGGCCGTTTGGCGAATGGAGCAGAGCCTGTGGATAAAGCTCGGTCGAGCCGAGATCCTTGCTAGGAAGCGTGAGCCGTTCACCGTCCTTGAGCTGATCACTGCCCTTGATGACGGATGTGAGAATATCATTATTCTTGGCCCAAAGCAGCTTTCCGCTACCGTCCATACTGACTGCCGGCTCCTCACGACCCATGGTAATGACGACGGCGCCATCGTCGAAACCAAGCGCAATGCCGTTCTTGCCCTTTTGGTATGACACACACCACGCGCGCTCAAGACCGTAGTTCAATGATTGTTCTAACCGGTAGGTTGAAGAATGCCAGATCTTGATCGTGCCGTCTTCTGATCCCGAAACAATAACGGGGAGCTCCGGGTGGTAGACCGCGAAACTAACGTTGGAAGTGTGGCCCTCGAGCGTTGCAATGAGTGCCTTTGTGGTGTAATCCCAGACCTTGACCGTTCGATCGTCCGAGGTAGTGAGTAGATATGGCTTGTCCGATTGAGGGTAGTAATCGATGAAGTTGACACCCTTAGTCTCGTGCGCCTCAAGTGTGAAATTGGGTGTTGAGCTGCCAAGGGACCATATCTTGACTGTCCTATCGAGACAGGCAGAAGCGAATGTGTTGGGGTCCTTGGGGTTAATGGCAATGCCCATAACGTAGTGCTGGTGACCAGCAAACTCTTGGACGCCTAGTACGTGTCAGCATCTGCTCTCTTCTCACTCATAGACGAGTTTTGTACATACACTTCCATGACTTGTCCCAATCCCAGAGCTTTATTGTCATATCATCCTATGCCCACATTAGCCTCCTCTATGTGTTTCCGTAGGGTATTACCCACACTGGCGGTCAGGACGAAAGGTTGTGTTGGATGAACGGCGATGGCGCGAATGTAGTCGGGGTGGGCCTCGAAAGATGTAACCTTTTCTGAGGTGTTGTAATTGTACACGCGCAATTGAAAGTCATCAGAACCTGAATTGGTGTTTGTCAATTCCTCTTCTTGTATCCATGGGAGGATCGTGTCCTACCTGCCACTATCCAGTTCTTTCTAGCGATGAAGCGACCGGCGCGGACGGGCACGTCGGTGAGCTCGAACGTCTTAACAATAGACTGCGTGATGTACGACCAGATGTGAACATGCCCTGTTACCGTCAGCGCTGATCCATGATCATAGACCTGAGGTTATGCGTACCGCTGTACAAGGTGGTGAGGATCCATGGCTCCGTTGGGTGGAAGTCTTTGGCGGTATTTAGTAAAGGTCGTTTGTTAAGAGAGTGCAATTCCTACCGATGCCTGTAGCGTGTCAGTTCAATCCACAAGAGCTCATGCGCATTTCAAGTCCGCTTACCCTTGACACGCTCTGAGCGCGCAAAAAGCTGCCTCTATAGCAATATCCAAGTCAACAATGGTATTCCACTATGAAATTATTCCAATTGCATTATGCGACGTACCTTTACGTCTAATCGCATCGTTGTAGCTCAGTTATGCTCGGGGTGGAGGGGTGGGTTATGGGAACGTGGCTTTTGTAGCCAGTCCGTACAAGCGCAGGTCGAGGGCAGAGGGAGCTCGAGGCGCTAGTGCTGGAGGTTGTTCGGTGTGGAGACGGGTAAAAGAGTGAGGAATGGGCGTCAGCGGGTTGCGTCGTAACTTACTGCAAGTCCGCAATGTGTTCGATGTCGGCGGAGCTGCGCCAAGACCGCGACAGGGTTTAGGTCACTATTTCCCAACGTGGCAGTTTCTGCAGGCCATAGAAAGCAGACGAAATGCGCGACACGACTGCCTTTGCACGTTACACAGCATGATTAAGGTCGTCTCGATATCCAGGCGAAGCAAGGCATAGCCGGCTAAAGTGAATTACAGACTTTGGTATTATATCAACTAATCGTACACCATCTTATTACCCCGCTGGCTCATGCGCTTGTTCATCACCATCTGGTACGCCTCTGCAGTTTGTAGACTTTTCTCGATTCTCACCAAAGACTATTTACTTGGAACTGTAACCTCCCCACAAGTGCCCCTCATTATCCATACATGCGCGATGCATGATAGATCCAGTGGACTCTACACCAAGTCTTGACACTGGCATACAGTTGCCACCGCACCCATCCACAAATCGAACAGAGGAAAAAAACGGTCTAGCTTTTCCGAAAGCAAAGACTGGTATCTTAGAAGAGAAATACAACGAAAGGGAAAAAAAGAATAGAAAACTATGTTGGAGTATAATCTTTAGCTTTATGACAGTGTTAACGAGAGTGTCCGAACGGTAGTGACGACAAGATAAGAGGAAATTCGAGCAGCTAGATGCGATGCAAATGCTGGCCTGAATGAGGTCGGTGCGACAGATGAATGTGGACATCTTGATAAAGTAGACAGCCGTAATGTAAATACATCAAAGGGCGTCAGACGTTGGCTGTGGCTTGCAAAGTGACAAACGTCCGGTATATGGTACAATCACTCCGCTAAGGCGTGACGTAAGAAGAGCGGCGAAAACGCCTTAGTTCCAGCCGAGAGAGTTTTCAGCCATGACGGGCGCTGAGATTTGCTGTGTCCTGATGCTGCGTCCTTGACTGGCGCTGCTGCCTCGGCTGCCAGGTGTCATACGACCGTTGCGTGCACCGTGCATCCAAGCAGCCGCACCGCCAGGGATGGAGCCAAAGGTGTTGCGGCCGGTGCTAGGCACAGAGCTGGACCGCTGGTGGGCCATGCGCTTGTTCCTGTATCGGCGGGCAACGAAGAACATGGCCGCACCGTAGGCAATGGCTCCGACAATGGCGCTGCTAGCGACAATGGCACTGGTTGAGTTGACCTTGCGGCTGGCACCAATGTCTCCTCCCATTGCGCCGCCACCATTAGATCCGCCATTAGGAGATGAAGCATCGCCTTCGCCAGAAGAACCACCGGCGGGACCATCGGCGGGGAGGTTACCAGCGGCAAGTGGGCATGCGGTGTTGATCAAGTTGGTCAAATCGTTGACAGTAGAGTCCTCATTGTTCCACAAAGCAGAAGCAGGGTTGCGAAGTTGAAGTGCCAGCTTAGTCTGGAGATCCTCGGGAATGGTGAACATAGCCACGGTGGTGATGAATCCAGAGTACTCCATTGTGTTGAGGGGCTTCAAACCGTAGTTCTTGACATCAGAAACAGAGATGTTCAAAGCGTTGGCAATGGCAATGGGGAGGTAGTGGAAGATTTGCTGACCACCATCATTGGCAGAAACAAATGGATAGTTGAGCGGCCACTTGAAGCACACTTGGCCCATGAAGGTGTTTTGTTGAATGGCTGGTGGGACACCTCCGGGAGGCGCAATCATCCTTGGCAAGCTTGACGGGATGGTGCTGGCAGTAGGGCTAGCAGATGGAGTGGGCATGGAAGAGGCCTCAACAATGATGCTAGTACCTACAACCAAGGTAGTCGCGCTATCAGTTGCAGTCGCTGTAAGGGACACAATTGGCGCCACGCTGCTGATGGAAGATGGCCTGACGGGAATGATGAGCGAGGCGGATTCAGTGCGGGTAGGCGAAGGAGTTGGCAGAGGAGTCTCCGACGCGGGTACTGGTGTCGAGACCACTGGTGTCGAGATGACTGGCGCTGAGGATACGGAGCCTGTGCCAGCAGTTGGCGTAGGTAGCTCACTCTCGGTGGCGTTGGTAGATGTTTGCGGAATCAGTGTGGGTACAGCACTGCTTGCTGAGCCTGTCGGTAGTCCTGATGACACCTCTTCCGATGCTGGCACACTCAAAGATTGGCTGCTCACAGGAGGTGTGACAGTGGGGGAAGCAGATGTACCAACAGCACCTGTACCGGATGGAGTGATACCCGAGGCCGGAGGTGTGGCGCTAACTGGAGCAGAGGCAGTGGGCGTAGGGACAGTTGAAGAGAGGACCTCGGAAGTGGGTACACCAGACGAGACAGGTGTGGAAACTGGGACTGGCACAGATCCAGTTGGCACAGTACCTGAGGAGGGAAACACTCCAGAAGATGACAGGATCTCCGACGCGAAGCTCGAAGCCGAGACAGTAGGAACGACAATAGGCTCACTAGTGGGAATACCAGTACCAACAGACGAAGCCAGCGAAGAAATGATTGTCGGGCGTAGGCTGGCCTCGCCGGAAGTAGGCACCGGAGTCGGGGCAGTGGAAGCAAGACCTGTACCAGAAGGCAGGATGCCTGACACATCAGGTAGAATGGACGAGCTTACAAACTGCTCTGGTTGCACAGAGCTAGTGGCGGCAGCCTCTGAGGTGGGAATGGGTCCCGAGCCCAGGGGCTCAGATGGGGTTGGGGAAGCAGACCCTTGAGTGCCGAGAGCAGTAGTGATTCCGATGAAGATGCCCGAAGATGGCAGAGGTGACTCCACGCTAGAAGCGCTGGTGGGAAGAACGATAATGTCAGGGATTCCGCCAGTTGAGCCAGTGTCTGGGGTGGGCGTAGAAAGGGCAGCCAATGGAGTGCTAGTGGGCTGAACAATACTCTCAGGAATTCCTCCAGTTGAGCCAGTGTCTGGGCTGGGTGTGGGCAGAACGATCAAGGGAGTGCTCGTAGGGAGGACAATGATGTCGGGGATTCCTCCAGTGGAGCCAACTTCTGGGCTAGGTGTGGGAAGAGCGCTGGCGGGGCTGCTTGTAGGAAGCACGATGATGTCGGGAATTCCTCCAGTGGAGCCGGTCTCAGGGCTAGGAGTGGGAAGAACACTGGCAGGGCTGCTTGTAGGAAGGACAATAGTGTCCGGAAGCCCACCAGTGGAGCCAACATTGGAGCTGGAGGTGGGAAGGACAATCAAGGGGCTGCTAGTAGGCAGAACAATGATGTCGGGGATTCCTCCAGTGGAGCCAACTTCTGGGCTAGGAGTGGGAAGAGCGCTTGCAGGGCTGCTCGTAGGAAGCACAATAATGTCAGGAAGCCCGCCAGTAGAGCCAGCACCAGAGCTAGGCGAAGGAAGGACAATCAGTGGTGTGCTGGTAGGAAGCACAATGATGTCGGGAAGCCCGCCAGTAGAACCAATGTTGGAGCTGGGTGAAGGTGAAGCCTCAGGAACATTCTCGGAAGCGGATTGAGTCGATCCTGGAACAATGAAAGGTCCAAGGAAGCTTGACGACTGAACCGAAGACGGCTGCGCAGAAGGGGCAGGAGATGCAGTAGGAGTCACTACTGTCTCGGGGATGCCTCCAGTGGAACCGATGCGCTGTCCAGTTGATGGAGAAGCATCCGATGGAGTGTTTGGAGTAGGTGACACAATGACATCGGGCAGTCCCCCAGTCGTAGCAGTAGGACTTGAGACGGGCGCATCGGAAGTTGACTTCACAACATCTGACGGCTGTTCATCCGGAGTAGATGATGGGCTAGGGCTGGAAGGCGTAGGCAGCACAATGATGTCGGGAAGCAGACCGGTAGAGCCAAGGATTGGAAGAATGGGTGATGGCTCCGGTGATGGCGAAGGAGTTGGCTGGAGTTCAGGCTCTGGTGATGGGCTGGGCTGAGGCTCAGGAGACGAAGTAGGCTGAACAATCACCGAGGGAAAACCGCCTGTCGATCCAGCTGGGGATGGCTGCGATGGAGTCGGCTGAGGCTCAGGCTCCGGCTCCGGCGAAGGAGTGGGCTTTGGCTCCGGCTTAAGCTCAGGCGAAGGAGTTGGCTGGGGTTCAGGCTTTGGCTCAGGCGAAGGAGTGGATTGAGGTTCTGGCTCAGGCGATGGCGATGGCGATGAAGCAGGCTGACGCTCCGGGGATGGCGATGGCGAAGGAGTAGGTTGAGGCTCCGGCTGAGGCTCCGGCTTGGGCGACGGCGATGGCGATGGAGCAGGCTGGGGTTCAGGCTCCGGAGACGGGCTAGGCTCTGGCTTTGGCTCTGGAGTGGGTTCAGGCTCAGGCACGGGGGATGGAGAAGGCTCAGGCGCAGGCGATGGGGACGGGGANGGCGACGGAGTAGGCTCAGGCGACGGCGACGGCGATGGAGCAGGCTGGGGTTCAGGCTCCGGAGACGGGCTAGGCTCTGGCTTTGGCTCTGGAGTGGGTTCAGGCTCAGGCACGGGGGATGGAGAAGGCTCAGGCGCAGGCGATGGGGACGGGGANGGCGACGGAGTAGGCTCAGGCGACGGCGACGGCGATGGAGCAGGCTGGGGTTCAGGCTCCGGAGACGGGCTAGGCTCTGGCTTTGGCTCTGGAGTGGGTTCAGGCTCAGGCACGGGGGATGGAGAAGGCTCAGGCGCAGGCGATGGGGACGGGGACGGCGATGGAGTAGGCTGGGGCTCAGGTGTGGGTTGAGGCTCCGGCTTTGGCTCCGGTGACGGTGACGGACTGGGCTGCGGCTCAGGTGACGGCGATGGAGAAGGATTGGGTGTCGAGGTGGGCACCTGCACCGAGGGAGCCGGGCTGTCGGTCGTAGACTGAGGGACACCAGATGGAGACAAAGGTGCAGTAGAGTTGACTGGGGGCAGCGTTGAAAGAACCTCCAACGGGGCGTTGGGAGTAATATCAACATCGTTTGTGTTAACGACCGGATCCGACGAAGTTGAAAGCGCCGCCTTGTCAGATGAGCCACGGAATAGAGTCTCAATAAAAGAGGGGAAATCAATCTGACGCGACGAGAGCCGGTCAGAGGTGCTTTGTTCCGAGGAAGAAGATGACGACGGTGCTGATACGATCGCGTTGATGTCGTCTCGCTTCACGTGGCGTGGAAAGTAGTATCGAGGGCGATCCTGTGCTTGTCCAGGTCCTGGTGCAGGCATGGCCTCGGCAGTGGTGAGCAGTGGGCCGGAGCCAGACATGCTGGCCATGAAGAGGGCGGCCGCCCAGATGGTTGAAGATCGTGGCATATTTACGATTATGTCCCCGTGCTACGGATGATTAGGTGTCTAGCGGATGGTCAAAGGCGAAAGCCTTTGGAGCCTAAGGGTTGTCAGGTCACGACACGTGCAATTGGTGTGGTTGGGAGAACAGACTGTCAGGGTTATGGTAAAACGAGTGGACTTGACGATTGTCAATGTGGGTAAAGAATGGACCTGTTGTCCGTCAGCATGGTGCCTTAGGGGGGCGCGACAAGGGCAGCATCACTCACTAGACTGTCAGTGCAGCTAGAATTAACGCAAAAGCACTAGCAAGTGTAGTGTTGGCGTCGTCGCAATGAATCTGGAGGTTGTCGTGAAATCTATGCCGTCATGTTTGACAGTGACAGGTTCCAGAAGGCAGTCGTCACGCAGGGTCGGATGCACGGTACGGACCAGCGTCAAACAAGACTTTGGTAGACAGGTGGATGTCAACCGGCAACCGAGTGTAGAGCAAAGCGTCGCAGTCGTCGATCAGGGCACGGGATCCAGGGTGCGTTGGAGAACAATGACGATGGGCACAGAGTGGGCAGAGTAGCGATGAAGTTGCGACAGGGTGGAGTTGCTTTGTTCCTGGCTAACGGGGAGGCTTGCGCGTCTTGAATGGGTCCAGCGGGGCTGAAGCGCGCGTTGAAGTCTGGAGCTTGTGCTGGCAAAAAGGAACGAGAGCGACGGTTGGCAAGAAGCAAGGGGCTGATTACGGCGGAGGTGCGATTGCGGGAGCAAGAGGTGGGATTCAAAGGAGCGTTTGTGATTCGGAGAATCGGGGTGGGTGGTGAGGCAGAGGGAGAGAAGGGCAGAGAGAGCGTAAGGCTGCGGGCTTGTCGAAGGGGCGCCACGGGAGGGAGGGTGAAGCAACGGGCGGCTTGGTGGTGCGCGCAGTGTCGGTGGAGGAGAGGGCCCGGTGAGGATTGTCGGCTGAGGGTGAGGAAGAGTCGGCTTGGGAAGGCAGCGCGGGCGACGGGACGGTGAAGAGGGAGAAGGAAGGGCAATGCCGGCGTCAGCAGCAGATGTCGCTCCGGTGTCGAGGCCAAAACGACGGCTGGCAGGGACAAGCGTGGCTAACGTGTGCACCCTGCAGGAGAACCAAGGGCTCCAGCAGCTCGTGACTAGCGGTGGCTTGGGAGCTTCCAGGACGGGAAAAGGCAGGGTTTGGCGCGGCGGGTGTGTGCATTCGATATTCGATAGTGGCCAAATATAACGCCGCTTCGCTCGACAGGGTGTAGTCGCGTCGTCGGTTGCACTCGTCGAACGGTGGTGAAGGCTTGACAGACGCAAAATGCTGAGGGCAGTAGGTGCAGAGTTTACGGGCGAGGGAGAGGGAAGGAGAGGGCAAGCCAGGCGCAGCGGCTGTGGCCACAGACGCACACATGGCGCCCACCTATAGCATGCGTGGTGCAAATTGCAGACGGCGGCGACTGTTGTGCTTGTGGATGCGGATTAATTTGCACCTGGCCGGCAGAGCCCTGGTCGTGCAGACGGTTGTCGGTTGTCGGTTGTGTGGTCAAACAGCACTAGGCAAGGGAAGGGGACGGGAGGGGGATTGGGGGGACGGGCAACCCCAGTTCGGTTCCCTCCCAAGCTGGCCAAGATGGACAGAAGCGGCGGCGAGGGCGAGGGCGAGGGCGTTGGTGCTGGCGGGTGCAGAGGCCATGGCGATGATGCGACACAGAGGCTGCAGTCTAGACACGCTCGCTGATCGTTTCTTCTCTCTCCCGTCTCTGTCATGGAGGGCAGCCTCGCCAGGTCCAGGGCAGGGGTCAGGGGTCAGGGGTCAGGAAACACTCGGTAAACTGACCAATGACAAACGAGTATCGCTGAGCCCTTCATTTCGGCAAAACACGGGACCCGCTGCTGGGGGCGAATGACGCTGATCTCTGCCCTCTGTCCCTCCACTCGCATGTTTCTCCCCCGGCGCCCCGTCGTCCAGATGGCAGCTTTTCCTGGCCATGACGGTTGGCTTGACATGGGCCATAATTACTTGCTACGCCCAACCTTCCGCCCGCTGCTGACATGGCTTGTTCGACTCTGCTAGCCATGTATACATGGATGCTGGTCTAAGTACTTGCTTAGTATCTACTGTGTAAATAGAATAGCACTCACTCACTCACTCACTCACTTCCTTCCCAACGGTTTGCACCGACATTGCTCCAACCTAAGTACTTACCTACATGGAATTAGATGCAGGGCCATCGGGGTGCCACGCAGCCCCTTGAATCACGCCCTCTCCCGCTGCCCTTCCTTCGTATCATCTCAATCTTTCCCCCGCCTGTGCAGCCAAATGGTGCCCACGCCTGCATTAGCAGTCTCTGGTAACTGGAGCACATGGTTTTTTCAAGTCGACTATTCCTACCACTGACAAGGCCCAAGGTTCGCCCTAGGCAGGTGGGCGGTTTTGGCTTCTGCTCGCCGCTCCCAGCTTGGTGCCTTGCCCGCTTGTGCGTGGCCTGCTTGTGTCGTGCGGGACATGGATCAGCCCCTGTCTGTGCCCCCCCAGGCCATGGCTATCAACCCGCGTCGGCTGCCAACGCCGGCTGATGCTACTGTTGTGATGCTGATGCTGCTGCTGTTGCGCACTTTGCAGACACAGCCGTTTGCCGTCATCGGCGACAAAAAGCAACCTCTTGCATGCCGTTGTCAATCCCAACGTCGCCGCCGCCGCCGCTGCTGCACCACATACTGATCACTCCCCGCATCCGCCACAACTGCCGTGCTCGAGACTACATACACACCGTGTACATAAGTACGCATGCCACTAATCCGGCTCAGACTCAATCCTTCCCCCCAGGATACAAAAGGCAGGAACCACCGTCACCACCGTACCATCGTACCGCACAAACACACCGCGCCTGTCGATCTTCTCACTCAGCCTAATTTGTCCTCATGGCACTTCCCAATCCAGTCACCTGCCTGTTGCTCTCGCTTCCCACTGCACAATCTTCTCCTTTGATAGCGTCGTGAACCACAACTACGCCCTCCAACGCTATCCAAACTATTGAACCATATACTTACTCCGACAATCACATCGACATGACTCCGCTATCCATATCCGCATAAATGTTTCGATTCAGTCCTGCCACACCCACCTCGCTTCCCTACTCATGGTCACACACTCACTATGCTGCTGCTGCTCCTTCTTCATCACCCATAATAGTCATGCATCTTTATGCTCTTCCATTCGTCATCTCCTTTTACTCCACATTAGCCCCGGCCCTTTTTTCCACATGCACATACTATTGACAATACTCGTCCATACTTATCTCGTCTAGTCCAATGCGCCTCATACTTTGTTTCCTGTCAGACCCACCTCCCGACTGAGCCCCTTCGCTGCCTGTCATTGTTTGTCCATTGACCGGGCCCTTCGAAACGCGTCCCGTGTCGCCGTCACCACCATTCCTGTGGCGCAGTCGCCCGCATGAATACAAGACTATAACGTCTGAATACCGCCTTCTCTCCATTGTCCCAACCTTCCCCCTCCCAAAGCCCTCAATGTCAGCCTCGTATATCGTACGGCCGTTTACGGTGCGGCGTTCGGCCCAATCAACCTGTTCATTTACTTCTCAACCACACCTCGTCATCTTCTCGGCCTTGTCCAGCATCCCGCAACACGAGTTTCAGCCTGCCAGCGATGCGCTTACTGCCGACACTGCCTCGCCCACATATTAGCTTTCGACAGCTTATTCACTCTCCCCGTCCCTGGGAGAAAAACAAAGGTAATCGTGCCAGGCTCCCTCGGCAATAGCCCTACCGTATGACATGTTATCAAAGCCAGTCTGCCCGCTTCCGCATCAGGAAATCCCCTTGCTTTTGCTGCACCTGTCTACTTGTGTACCATTACGTGGACCATCCCCTTGCCTCAACGTAAACACCACCAGTCTCGAATTCATCCCGAAGCCTGTCTAATGTGACACGCTTAGCATGTACTCGATATAGGCTGCAGAAACAATTCCAACGACCGAATTCATGCCTGGTACACTAATATTAGTACATTGTGGTGCTCCTGGTCCATGGAAGAAGTCTGGAAAATGTCCCTTTGTTCTCGAACGCGTGGTCTTGCTTGGCACTATCTGAAATTTGAGAAGGGAGAATATTCGGCATGGTCATTCAAAGATGATCTGTGAGACCATCGTACTCCCTGTTATATCTCTTGCCAAATTACGATTCAGCATTCGTGCGATATGTTGAAAAGACGATGATTATCTCAATAGTAGAAGTCATATAGACGTGCTGAGAATCGGTCACGTGATATGCGATCCCCAAAATTGGATTGACAAAATATGTTTGCAAGTAAATTATCTCTTCAATGGAATGTAAAAAATGTCAAAATGGCTATCATGGATATTTTTGTTCAATTCAGTCCAAAATCATATTGAATTGTATCCGTATAATTGATTTCTCTACTCCATTAAAAAAACCCTCTCATATTTACTTTGCACAATGGAAATTTAATACCTTCTGATGAAATACCAGGATTAAGTCTCATCACTCAGCGAATTATTGATTTGTCTAGATACTCATGTAACTTTGTGGTATCATTTTGGATTCGTTATATAAGCCAGCTGGTATGAGTACAGTAAAAGATTTCAATCCCCAACATTGACTTTAAGCACCTGGCAGTGAATGCATATATACCATTAGAATGTGATTCAATGATCTCTGGTTATATTAATCTAATATTCTTGCCTATACGAGAGAATTGTCGGCTTTATCAATGTGATATGTATGTATATACTCATACTTAGAACCATTCACCACGCATACTCTTATATCTTCTTTCTGTGTAGTCATCATCCTTACTCCCTTTCATATCTTCTCTGATCATATTAAATTTTAACCCCTCCAACATGCATTGTCGCCACTCGACTACCTTCTTCCTTTCGGCATAGCCCGATTTTTCAAGACATATGAGATCATTTTTTACAAACTCAAAAAATATAGCCAAAGTCAAGATAGAGCAAGGCAGCGCATTCCCATCGAATGGGATACCATGCCCTGATTGATGACTGCAAAAACTACTCTCCATCTCAGCTCTAGTAATACCACGTTATTCCTCAACAATTACTCCAACCCCTCACTCACGACACTACCGCTCAAAACAATACAGCGGACATGGTCCGAAATGAGACATTATACGCCCCAAATAGAATAAAACGTGTCTCCCCGCCTAGGATACCCAAGCGAATTATTGCATACCCTAGACAAGCGCAAGCATGCTGCAACATCGCGAACGCGCTTGACATCATTTGGGACTTGACCACCACTGCCGATCAAATCAAGCAGACGATTGCATCACCCTCTTTGAGCACAAGTACGAACACGGCTGACAGCCGTTGCAAGACGCAGTCACATCATACGAGGATTTCGATTACCGATCTCTGCCAGGCTAAATGCTGGCATGCACACACATGCACACGACGTTGCGGCTGAACCCTGAAAGCGCGAGGCTGGTTTGGTCGGATCTACATTGACATCACAGCCACAGTCAATAAATATGCATATAGACCCGCGTCGAGTACGAGTTATAACCCTCTCCACCTCAGGAAATCGATAAAAAAAAGTCACGTTGCTTTCCTATCGTCACAGCCCTGCCGCGTCGTTCCGCGAATTCGTCATCACAACACTCGTCATGCGCACCATCTTCACAGCAGCAGCGACAGCAGCATTCTGCTCCCTCGCTTCCGCCCTCCCAACATCCAACCTCACCCCACGAGCAGGCGGCCCTGCAATCGTACCCATCCCTTCCACCTGCACCATCACACCACTCGCCCCGCCTACTACCAGCAACAACAACAACAATCAGTCCTTCCTCCCTGCCCCGGCCACCGCCGACGCCTCCCTCTACAGCGCCTACTACCCCTCCTTCTCCTCCAACAAAACCCAAATGGCACAGCAGTGCTTGCAACAATGCTACGGCTACGGCGACCACATCGAGTGCAGGACGGCATTTTGGGCAGAGAATGTGGTCGTGCCCCCGGGTTATTATGGCACCGAGGGCGGGTATCTGGCTACGGCTTGTTTGATGTTTGATCGCGTGTTGAGTGAGGGAGATTTTGTCGGGGCACCCGAGGGGCAGGGGACCGGGGCGTTTGCCGCGACGGTGGAGTGTTGAAATTGGTGTGTGGGTGATGAGCTATGAGCTATGAGACATGAGAATGGGCTGGCGTTTTTCGGCTTTGTGAGGGTAACATGGGTTTACGAATATGGTTGAGCACACCAGGATGGCATTGGGAGGTATGGACTGGATGAACTCGCAATAATTTCGCTTGCTGTGTTTTTTTTTTTAGAAGCGATGTTCTTGTAGAATAAAACTTGATTCAAAAAAAGCCAGACATAATGGACACTACGAGACCGATGAGTGCCACTTGCGGACATACTTTTGCGGGGAACCTTTGAACGGTGTCTCAATTTGCAAACAGCAAATACCTAGTATACTTAACTATACTTTATTGATCAACTACAAAATCTCGGATCGTTAACTAAAAAAGAAAAGATAAGTCCACAAAAAGAAAATATATGCCAATGACGTTTCACCGATTCCTACATTTCTGTTTACCTTTTTCCGACAACAACAGATCGGACAAATACAAGATATGAACATGCTTTGGAAAATAAAACCTCAACCTCATTTTCCAATGCGAAAGCGAATGTGCAACCGGCTCGTCGCCCTAACATTTCCTTCGCTAAACTACCTTCTAATTTCGGATCTCAGGTCACTCATTGCTATTCCATGACACCATAACCTGCAACCACTCGTATCTGCAATCACAAAGCAATATCGTTTTACTACTATTTTTCTCGTTTCATATCTCAATTAAACTCGCTACTCGCGTTACCAAACCGATTCAATCCTCGCCCACTCCGTATCTCCAGCACACTCCTATTCCCCATCCCACATCATTCCCGTACACCTTCCCACATCTCAAACCCTCAACAAACTCGTATCCCCTATCACAAAAAAAAACGTACGACCATCAT